CCATTTTCCATTGCTATGTTAGTTCACCAGAGGGTAACTCTACATTTCCGATGCAAATCGCTGGGGTTTTTTCTACCCACGAACTCGAGAACCGTGGGAGCACCAAGTAGATCCCCAGGATCCCAGTGATTCAGCCAGATCAGCCGCTGGGTAACATAGAAATCTATAGAAATTGATAGATATCGCTTAGAAACCTATAAATATCTATGGAAATCTATAGAAATCCATAAATATCTATAGAAATCTATAGATATCTATAGATATCTATAGAATAGATGGATTATAAATGATTAAAACTGGCTGGTGGTTGACCCACCCCTCTGAAAAATGATGGACAACTCGTCAATTGGGATGATGACATTCCCAACTATATGGAAAAATAATCCATTCATGTTCCAGACCACCAACCAGTTATAAGTATAGTTCCCTGCAATTTACCAACTGGTAGGGCCTTATGGCAGACGCGTTTTTTCGTTGCAAGCGATGTCTTCGCGAATCCTCCATTCGGATGCAGGCCTGAATGGTTGCTTCATGTGCCCCTTTTATGGGTCTGAAAATGGTGTGTACCTCTCTAAAATGGCACGTTGATAGGCAAACTGGGGAACATGATAATTATATAATTGGTTTATATGAGAGTCCCCTATTCTCAGATAGAATAATCTGTTCATCAACAATGATTGCAGCAACAGGCAAATAATTCCAAGATACCCTTTACTGAACGGTTTACGCAGAGATAAGACTATATTTTGTTAAGTGTGGATTTCTGCCGGTAAAAACAACAATATGTAGTATTGGTTAACCCATGATTTTTGCTGGCAAAATCCTGTCTTTCTTGAATTTGTTTCAAGGTGGGAAGTTGGCTCCAAAGAAAACACACATATCATATGACATCTGGCATATCCTTCTAGATTTCTGGTAGGTTACAGTAACCAATTAGAAAGCACAGAACAACAACATCTTCAGCGAATTCAAGTTTTAGGTTAAGTGAGCATTGTGCAAAAACCTTCTGTCATTCCATTAAATCCTGGTTGGTTAAGAACGGGATTCCCCGTTCTTGGATTATTCTGATCCCCACTATATGAAGGGTAGATTTTCATCCCCAAACGAATCATCAACCAAGCATCATTTATCAATATGTATCAACTATATCAATACATTTATAATATAGTTGAAACCATATGTATGGGATATAGTTGATACATCAGTACCATATGAATGGGATATCATCAGTACCATATGGCATTGAATCATGGGATTTAATCAACTATAATCCCATATGTTCGATGATTAAATCCCATGATTCAATGCCATGAAAAAAATCATCAACCCTGCGAGCCATGGGTTGGTGAAATCGCAGCCACTTCAAAATAGTGGTGAAATCTTCTCGTGGGTGAATCCCTGGCCCTCTGAAAATCCGGTGGTGATGCTGCAGGTCTGCTTGGAAAACCACGAAACCAACAACAAAACAAACTAAAGGCAATTTTTGCTACTCATCTTCGGGTGAAACCAGATTTTCGAAAATCAAGTCCGCTAATATTCTTTGCTGCTTATCTTACATTCTATTGGTGGGATAAAGTTACAGGCTTTAACAGCATATATATATATTCATATTCATATATTGGATAAACAACATGCCTCTCAGGTGTCTTCATCATTACAGGGTCCCATGGGTTTAATATTCCAAAAAAAAAAAAAATGCCATGAAATATACCCTCTGGTTATTTAACGTAGCCATGGAAAATGGCCATTTATAGTGGATTTACCCATGAAAAAATGGTGATTTTCCATAGTTATGTAACAGTTTACCAGAGGGTATATCTCGTATTCTTAGTATTTCATGGGAGAAAAACCCATGGGTTTCCGGTGATTTTTGTTGTCTCCTGGCTGCCTCCGTCACCGCGCACCGGCCCCACGTCCTTCATCCACCGTCCGGAGCGGGAGCCTGACGAAACGGCATGCCCGGCAAACGGCAGGGGGTGATTCGTTCAGAAGATGCAGTCGAACTACTGCTGATACCCTCAGGTTATGACTAACATAGCTATGGAGCATCATAATTTCTAATAGGTAAATCATCATAATTCATCCATAAATGGACAATTTTCCATAGCTATGTTAATTCTGCATTCTACCAGGCAGTCTGAAGAAATGGGATTCTAATGGTGATTTACTGTGATTTAATGGGATGTAATGGGATTTACCCTGTGGTAATTTAAGAGTTTGCTAGTGAAAATGGCCCATTTAGTTCATTGATTTTCCAGTTCGCTATGTTAGTTTACAAAGGGCAACTATGGTTGGTAACTATAACCATCTGAAACAACACAGCTATGATTTATGATATCAGTTGGATTTATCTCATCTATGGATAATGGGATCCATAAATCAGCCTTTGGAACCTAAATTGGATGTACCTACATATATATATATATGAGATACATGTAAGGGCTATGTAAGGCGATATACCTCCAACATATCGATTTATATGGTACAGTACCTGCTCATTGATTTAACCAACAAGAACATAGCTGGCTGGTGGTTAAATCAGCTCAGTGAAAAAAAGCTGGAGTAGATCTGAGACCACCAACAAAATAATGGCGAATAGGCTGATAACCACCTGAATTCACAGTTATAATCGGGTACATATTATATATAATACACATATACAGCATGTACTCACTATATATATATTTATATATATATATATGTATATATATATATAGAGAGAGAGAGAGATAGAAATAGAGATAGAGATTTAAGGAAAGCCCTGGAGGAAACCAGTTTTTTGACCCTTAAATATAGGGGTTTCCTCGGGTTTCCTCGGGTTTCCGCTGAACATCTTCCCATCCACCACGGTAGTTCGATGACTGGGTCACATCCAGTTTCTTATTTAGCGAGGGCTACAGACTGAAAACTGGAATCATCCTCAAAGTAGAACACATGATGCTTACATCTGCTTACATTGGGATTATAGAGATACTGAATGGGATATATATATATACTGTATATGATATATATATACACTGTATATGATATATATATATATATACTGTATATGATATAATATATATATGTTGTTTGGGGGTTGTATACCATCAAAGATGGGATCATAAACAGTGTATTTTATACCTTAGATATGGTGATCATCCTCCCCCGAAGGATGAACATTCGACGAATGATTTTCATGACAACCACCTGAAGTTCACATGCTGAAAGGCCATTTATATCTAAACTTTGGTTTATGGTACTCATACAAGGTGGTACCCCAGTTATAAGTTGGTTTATAATCCCCATGAAAAATAGTTCGATATAACCCCCATTCACCAACCCTAGTGAAATTGGACTTGTAAACGCACCAACTTAGATAACGAACTGGGGCACCAGCGATAGTAGCTACAGTTCATGGGCTGAAACTAAACCGATTTAATGGAGTCATGTTCTGGTTGGTGGTTTCAACCCCTCTGAAAAATATTAGTCAATGGGAAGGATGACATCCCATATATTATGGAAGATAAAAAATGTTCCAAACCACCAATCAGTGTTGTTTTTTCCTGACTAAGCGCCCCTTTTGTCTGCGCCTGGTGCTAGGAGACAGAGGGTGCTATGTCGGCAGATTTTGGGGCGTTAGACATTGCCATGCTGTGCGCGTTTTTTGATCTTGGAGATCTGTTACATAACTATGGTATGTTCATATGGTATCCCATTGAATATCAATATGTCCTCCCTATATATAGCCTATATATATATATTATATATATACTGGTTGGTGGTTGACCTACCCCTCTGAAAAATATGAGTGAAAGTCAGTTGGGATGATGAATTTCCCAATATATGGAAAAACAAAACATGTCCCAAACCACCAACCAGTATAGTATTCCCCATATTAGTGCCGTGGTCAAAAGAGAATTTTGTTTTGGATTCTGGTCATCCATCTGATTTTGGGAAAAGAACCCATGTCGAGGCCATGGCGCGATAGATTGATTTTTCGAATTACCCGTTGTAGCCAGAAAAATATTACCTCAATGGCCATTTCAGGAACCTAAATTGGTGGTACCTACCATATGTAAGGCCTATGTAAGGGGATATACCCCCAAAATATGGCCAAACATATGGTACTAACGTACAACCATTTTAGGATCCTGGAATTCCCAGAAAAAATTACCCATGATATGTCCATGACGCTGATGCTTGAAATGTCCTTTCTTCACTCTTCCAATCCAACTGTCTCTCTGACGCTGATGCTTAATTAAGCAACATTTCAAATGTTTGTAGTGATCTGTCCCAACTGAGCGTCCGTCCCAACTTATGTTCCATGGTGTTCCACAGTACCCATCGTTGTTCCCAACCACAACTGTACTGTACTGTAATACTGTACCCCCAGAAGCCCAAGAATTCTCGGGTGAATTCTCAAGAATTTTTGGACATCGAGATACGAATTCCATCTAACGCTCCTGGCGCCAACTTTGCACCCCCGCCAGTGGTCCACAAAGGACCGTAGTTTCTGCTACAACCAAAACTCAAAATGGCGATCGAAAGCACAACTGGGTCAACATCTGGTCAAAAAAACAGATAAAACCCGACCCAATCCTCACATGTTCGTGGTGGCTTGTTGATCTTCTGCACCATCTAACTACAAAAACACTTAAATTTCAAAGCTTGTGTCTATAGTCCAGTTGTTTTAATGTCTTTCTATCACCAGTGTTATGGACGTTCTGGCGGCTTAATGGTTGATGCCTCCCGAAATCACAGCCCAAGAACTGTAATCCATGCTATATTTGCCACCATTACTCCCAAAAAAAACAACTCATTCGTATGGATTTCAATATCTCATACATTGTACAATGTGGTGCCCCATCGTTATGTCTGTTGGTTAAAAAATCATGAAGTTTGTTATATCAAGCATTAGCCACGGTTATATAAGTTATATTGGTCACGAACGAACTAAGCGGCTAACTATGGGACACTATACTTCTATGAATACTGCCGTGTATGTATACATATTGAAAGGACATTGTAGATGAACCAAGCATGCGGGGAAACGCTCCCGCTGTCGTTTCCCCCAAAATTGTGTCAACTGGTGAGACGCACATTTCGTGGCTCAGATTGCCACATGCCTGTAGCAAGGGACAGGCGGCAAGAGCATTGTACATTACTCGATGTGCATCCCTGTGACTGATTCAAAGTCCGCAAAACAACAGTTTAATACCCATAGGATCCATGTATGCCATATATGGTAACATTTACCACCAATATACCCCCAATGTTAGCATATATACCATACATGGATCCTATGGGATATAGTTTAATTACCAAATAATCTCACCCCTCTAATATTTAACACACCGGGGGATTTACGCATAGGACATGTTGGGATCATGCAATGTTGGGCTATTTCCGAGGATCGTTGTGATTGGATTTTTTCATGGTAACATCAGTAACATCCGTGATTTTCCGGGTGTGTCTTCAACACTTCAGCCGGGGTAGGCATCCCCCCCCAAAAAAAACAACTAAAACTTGAAGTTGTAGGACAATTGTACAACTAGTTGGTGGTTGACCTACCCCTCTGAAAATATGAAAGTCAGTTGGGATTATTATTCCCAATATATGGAAAAATAATCCAAATGTTCCAAACCACCAATCAGACAAGGTGGTGCCCCGTAGTTAGCAAAGTTAGGGGTTGTGGATGTTTATGGCAGATACGAGTATATCATATCTATATAATATGGAGGTTTCCCTAAAATAGGGCTACCCCCAAAGTCATCCAAGTCATTAGATCACTTTAGTATTGACACCTATGGTGACTTTGGGATCCCCCATTTTAGGAAAAAAACATATAGTCACTATGGCTATTTTAACCAACATTATAGCTCGGGAACCACCTCAAAGGGATGCACCAAATGCGATCCCAAACCATAGTTGCAGCAAAATAAGTACTCAGTGTCATTACCGGTTGGTGGTGCAATAACCATCTTGAAAAATATGAGTTCGTCAATGGGAAGGATGACATCCCATATATGAAATGGAAAATAAAAGTCATGTTTGAAACCTCCAACCAGATTATGTGAACTACCAGTGGTAAATGGTGTCCAAAGAAACTGAATTTTATGTGGTACAAAAAACAGTTGAATGTTTGCGTTGTTCTTTTTTCATCCCACAGCAGGTGATGCGCCCCACCTAGTGATAAAATGGAATAAGCCCAGCTAGTTGGTGGTTTCAACCCAACCCCTCTGAAAAATGATGGACATCCTCTACAAAGCTGGAAGCATGGTGAAGGTAAATCTAGTGAGACGTACAGAATCATCAGTGGAACAAAAAATGCTCCAGTGACTATCGAGAGGCCGAAATCAGCTGAAATTGAAGTGAAACTCATTGAAAAATGCGGCAGTCCGGCCAAACTGCCAAAAACAGAGCCAGCGTCAACCATACTGCAATGGCTCGACGCATGCGATCCATTGCCAACAATCGCAGCAAAACTCCAGCAGCGTCACTTACGGACGAAGCAAAAGGAGCAGCCGGATTGGGAAAACAGCAAAGGACAGCAACCCCAAGAAGGGACAGGAAGCGCTCACTCACCGCTGACAGCCATGGGGATCCATGTGGGCGGCATCAAGCCAAATTCGATCTTCGACGGTTGTGACCTGGACCTGGAAGGGAGCCCACTGTAGTGCCAATGAAGGTGCCACGCTCAAGAAGCTTCGAAGCGGCGCCGCAGCGCAGCTCGGGCCCGAAAGGACCGAATCGTGGTGCCAAGTTCCTGCAACAGTTGGTTGTAGCAGACCGCCGGTTCCTCACCGGTCTTGGCGGCAGCTGCATGGGCCACGTGTTTCAAAACTTTCAAGGCACTGGGATCCCACGTGCCGGTGCACTCAGCAACAAGAGGAACAAATTTGACCCCTTGCTGCTCACAGGCCTGGGCCGTGTGGAGGTGGAGTTCCTTGTGTCTGGCATAGGCTTCTGCCGCCGCCGCCGTGCGCACACTTGCCTGCGCGAGAGTCTCCTGCCGCTGCGGCGCCGTAATGGCAAAGTCAAAAGCAGTGGGAGGCCCCGCAAAGGCGGGCAAGTACACGTCAGCGGGTCGGCGGGCCTGGCTGTTGTGATGGACAACTCGTCAGTTTCCATAGATGGTGGAAAAATAATCCATTCATGTTCCAAACCACCAATCAGTTATAAGATGTGATAAGAAAACTAACTTACAAGATATCAATGGCCATTTCAGGAACCTAAATTGGAGGTACCTACCGTATATAAGGCCTATGTAAGGCCTATGTAAGGGAATATCCCCACAAAATATGGCCTTATATGGTACAGTACCTCCATTTTAGGATCTTGAAATTCCCATTGAAGATATTATAAGTTCTTTTCAACATAACCAATGGGCTTTGCCAGTACCATGGGCTGTGCCAAAAGGGCCCCCTAAATTTTGGATGTTGGTGAGGTCCGCCTTCGCGTGGCATGATTTTGGTGAAACTCCTTAAATCTTTGATGTTTCAATTGTTTATTGCAGAAAAAAAACAAAAAACTATTTTTTAGAGAGTAAAACTATGATTACATGCATAGTTTTGTCTGGATGTTCAAGAAAAAAAGTGGATATGTTTAACCATCGTTGTGAAAAACCATGGATGTTCTATTCCAACATGTCTGGAGGTCATCATCCCATGGTTCGTCATCACCCCAGCACCCCCAAGTCCCACAGAGGCTCGGCGCCTCGGCTGGGTTTTTCGAAACCGCGAAAGCTTCTCGGCGTCAAAACTGAGTTCCAGCCACCGATGCGCCGCCCTCAAGTGTTCCAGTGCCTGTCAGAAAGTCTACTTACAATGTGGGATATAACTACTGGTTGGTGGTTGACCTACCCATCTGAAAAAATATGAGTGAAAGTCAGTTGGGATGATGAAGTTCCAAATGTTCCAAACCACCAACCAGTTAGGGCTTACATGGCATTTATATATAAACATGTGGGGTTATAAGGGGTATATGGGGTTAGTGATGGCTAAGTTCATTGATCAACTTAGCGATTTCGTTTTTTTGGGGGGGGCCATGTGGCGTAGTTACATGCCATAAACCTTAGTTATAAAATGTTGTGAAGGAACTTTGCAAACCTTACATCGTTGACAAAGTTGGCGAACATAACTTACATACAAGTAGGGTTTATGGTATATATAATATATTTTGAACTAGTTAATTGGGTTTCTCAATGTACAAGTTGGGGCTTTCATCAATTTTGAAGACTTTACCTGCCAACTACGAGGCTACCATGGATTCGACATGAAGCATTAAGATTTCGATCAAAAAACAATTGCTATGGCCACTATTGGGCCAGTATGGCTCGATATTCCAAAACCCATCAAGCTGCAAAACTCCGGAGTGCTTCAGCAAAATGCGGCATCAAGCCAACACTTGAATTCAATTCAGAAAAGGTCTTGGGAAAATTCAAAGGGCTTGGTACCAACAATACTTCAACAATCACTTAGCATTTCCCAACAATACCTGTAGTTTTTTCACATTTTCAGGTTTTTTTGCTCGCGAAGAAATGTGAAAAATCAGGCCCAGAGATATTTGGTCGGTTTTCACATGCTGATTGGCCATCCAGCTTGGGCCACCTGTTCATCAAGGATGGTAAAATCACTGCCCAACACACCGAAAAAGCTATTCAGGATGCGTCTGAAACTGGGGTCTAGTCAGTCTAGTCTACCCCGAATGGCAAAATTATGATGGGGGAATGATGAACCACTAAACCATTGGAATTGAGGGTACAAACAAATGCACGGATGCAAACACTACAGGTACATCCAGAATGATGGATGACGGCAATTTTGGGTAAGTCAATACGTGGTAGCTACAATGTGAGGCCCCCGTTCGATAGCTAAGTTGGTTTATAACTCCCATAACTATGGTTTATGGTACTTATAACATCTTATAACTATAGTTACTGGGGCGAATCTAAACCAACAAACATCACTGGGGGGCCTCACATTGTAACATAAATATCGCCCCATGCAGCATAACCTGGACATTCATATTGCTCAATAGGAAAGAACCACAGCCGCAATCTCATGCCATGGTGCAACCTCAGGCATAAGGCGTGCACAAGCCCTTGCCTCTCGCCAGGGAGGCCCGGGAGGGTAGTGTTGAGTCTGTAAAGGAAACAGAGATGGGATGTCAAACGTTCTTCACCAACCGCCTGTTTACATAGCACAAATTAAACAAAATGCACTGCCCCAAAGGAGTTCCCCAAAGGAATGTGGAAGATATAAGCAAGTGGCCAAAATAATGTTTAACACAAAACTTTGAGGATGATGCGACCAACAACGACGGACATACATTTACCCATAACTAAGTGAAAAGCACCAAGTGTAAGTACAGAAAATAGTAGTGAAGTCAATGACTATCTGTGTAAACATCAATAAGATATACATAGATAAACAATCAATTTCCATACCACCCAGACATATCCACCAAGCATGATCTGTACAAGGTGGCTGTGTAATGGCTGCTGGTTAAAAACCATGTTTGAGTACTGAAAGGTAATCATGGGACAGCAATAGTGAAGAAAACCCAGTCATTCAACATCTCCAGTTTGGGATTACCCTCTGGTAAACTAACATAGCTGTTAAAAATCACCATTTTTAGTGGGTAAATCCACTATAAATGACCATTTTCAATAGCTACACCCAATCGGGAAAGTCAGTGCACCGTCTCTTTGAAACACAAATCACCATGGGACGCCGCGCATTCGGGAAGTCAGAGAAGTCAGTGCAATTTAATGTAAATTAGCATGGGACGCTGTACGCCAGCAATCATCTAATTTGTTTCATGCCCGGTGTTTTTGATGGCTCTAAAATTAGGAATCACATTGTGGACGCTGCATCTATGCAGTCATTATTTTAAGTCATTTTGAATGATTTTGTTGAAAAACGCAATGGGACGCAAGTTTCCAAGTGGAGAGTATGTAACAAATTACCAGACGGTAAATCCCATTACACTTCATTACATCCCATTAGATCACCATTAAATCACCATAAATCACCATTAAATCACCATAAATCACCATAAATCACCATTAAATCACCATAAATCACCATTAAATCACCATTAAATCACCATAAATCACCATTAAGTCACCATTAAATTCTTGGATATTTCTTATTTGGGATGATGTAAAATAACCCCGTCCTGGTTGGTGAATGGGATGGTGACTATGGCTGTTTAGCTCATTAATATATAGGAAAATCTCAACTACTACGGCTATAATCATTTATAATCACAATATATGATATCTACGGCTATATTGTATTTATAATCATGATAATCACCACGGCAGCCGGTCTGTTCTTGCTGTACTAGTAGGAGATCATGGTACCTTCCTGGAAGCGCTGCCGCGCGAAGGATACCATGTTCTCGATGTGACCTCCCCAGTACAGCTTCATGGAGGAGCGACTGAGGGTTCGGCAGCCATAAAGGCCGTCTGGCCCGAACCTCCGCCCATTCTGGGATGGGCCCAGCACCGAATTCAAATAGCATTCCTCCTCCACCCTGGCCAAGTGGCTGGTGCTTATCAGGTGCTTCTCGTCTGCCCACTTGTTGCCGCAGCAGAGCTGGCATTTCATCCAGGTCTTGTCAGACACCCGCGAAGCTTTGAGAGCATACTTGTGCACAGCTTGGCGATCTGCCTCTGATCATTTATCAATATAATGATTTAATCACAATAATCAATGAACTATGTAATCACAATATATGTATCATAGATGATTATATAGGATGATTAATATATACTACGGCGAAAATCTTGTCTAATCATCTATGATCATCTATAATAATCTAGAATCACAATACTGATCTATAATCATTTATAATTAATCGCAATTGTATCTAGGGACAACAATAGTGGGATTCACATATAATTATACTGTATACCCATAAATATCCGCATTAGAACCTCATTAAAACCTCACTTCAATCTGAACCACCATTCTTGGTGTTTAAATATGCCAATCTTCCTACAGTTAAGGTCCTTTACCAGTTATAAATGGTTAAACATGGTTATAAATGTGGTCATCCCTAAATGAGATTATAACTGACTTATAACTGGTATTTTGGGCCTTAATTTTCCTAAAGTCCTATGATTGCTAGTTTAATCCCACCCTCGTGATCCCGTTATATTCGCTTGATATGAGGCTTTCCTGAAATAGGGGTACTCGAAATCATCCTCCAGTCGTCATGGATCACCATGGCTTAGTATTGAAACATATTGAAACCCATGGTGACTTATCACCATTTTAGGCAAACCTCCACATATTCTAAACCTATAGGTTGTCATTAGCTATATAGCTATATATATGTATATGTATATGTTCACCCCCCCACGACCCCGTTTTTCAATAGCTCGACTTGCAACACAATACAGTATATGACATTTGTATATGTCGATAATATGTTGAGGGGTGGGGCATTGGATGCTGCAGACGACCATGCAAACCCAGTTGGCATTGAAAGTTTGTTTTAATGTAGTCCTTTCCTGAATTGTTGATAATGTAGACAGTCAGACGCCTATATTGGTAGACCAGCCAGACCAGCAGACACATGAAGTGGCCCATGGAATTTGAACCCTTGTCACTTTTCAATGCCATAACTCTGAAGAGACTGCTTTTTTCACCTCTTGCACGCAGCTGCCACCAAAATCTCAAGCACGCAGCTCTTTCAACATGTGCCCAGTGGCTGACCACATATTCTGGGTCCTGTGCCAGTATGTCCACTGGGCAGCTCGGACTTTGCGGGCCAAGGTAATGGAACCCACCTTCCTGGGTGCATATTTCAAATAAGCCTTGACTTTCAAAGCCTTGCCATTTGGCAGTTGGTGCGTCCACACTTTGGTGTACTTTGGATTCACCCAGACCTGCTTGCCATTCACTGTCATCTTCTTCTTTTTGTGCTCCACATTGTCATGGAGTACTCCTTTGATCTTCATTGTGTATGCCTTAGCTCCATCAGTATGCAAAATGACATCTCTTCCCTCAAGGAACTTCTTGGCCACAGGCTTCCAGTCTCGCTTGGTGATTGGACCTGGTCCAGGTGATCGACTGGCAGTTGTCTTGGGAGAAAGCCTGAAAAGCACTAGTGTGTCTGGACGTCCACGTTCCACGAGGCCGCCCCACTGCTCCCAGCGAGCCCTTTTGATGTATGAAGCAGACAATGGGGTCATGGGGGGGTGACCATATATATATATATAGTTGCTATAACTATATATATAATATAAAAAAACACATGTAATATATAATAACACATTATTTAAAATATATTACATAATATATCATATAATATATAATGTGTATATACATATATATCTAATTCAATATAATGTAATAATATATATATATAGCTATATTAAACATTATTAAACCATGGTGTATGCAGCTTTCCAACCACGAAAGCGGTGGATCTTTGAAAATCACACCTTTGCCCTCGGCGGTGGAGGCCACCACAAGGCCCACGATGAGGCCATAGAGACCCAGCGCCTAAGGGGGATCCAACGGAACGCTTGGCTGGGAATGGCTGGGAAAATGGAGGAATTCATGGGACAAATTATGGAAAAATGGAGGAAATGATGGGAAAATCATGGGAAAATGATGATCTTATTGGTTTTTAATTGGAAAATGATGGGAAAATCATTGGATCATGTCTGATCTTATTGGTTTTTTAGTTTGTTTTAAATGGGATTTCATGTAATACCCTCTGGTAAACATACAAAAAACTATGGAAAATCACCATTTTTTTATGGGTAAATCCACTATCTCTATGGCCATTTTCAATAGCTATGTTTGTTTACCAGAGGGTAGCTATTGAAAATGGCCATAGAGATAGTGGATTTACCCAGCTATAACATGGTGATTTTCCATAGTTTTTTGTATGTTTACCAGGCCGGGAAATATTCTTCATAGTTATGAAAAGATAGATAGTAGAAAAAGGGAATAGTTTACTTCTATAAAGATAGATACCTATAAACTATAAAGATAGATATAATAACTATACTTCTTCATAGTTACGTTACTTTACCATAGTTATGAAAAAGGGAATATCATCCCCAATCCCCAGTTCGAACCATCCACCAGAAACCGATCGGATCCGAGGCAACAGATTTTTATTTGGAACCATGGAAATTGGCTCTGTGTGTGATATTTAAGGGAGTTAATCATGGTTTCTGTTAGATATAACTATTTTTACAGGATTTTATAGCATCTTGTAGAATGAATGTACCCGTTTTCATGCAACCTTTTGGAGGGGCACATTTTAGTTACTGGCCCGTTTTCATTCGCCAAGCGGAGTCAACATCACCTGCTTTCAGGGCTCCGTGGAACTTAACACCATTTACTTGGAGAAACCACCGGCCATTGACATTTAACATCCATGGCTTCACATCTGTGTGTTACCCTCTGGCTATGACTAACATAGCCATGGAAAATGGTCCATAGAAATAGATGATTTACCCAGCTAGAAACCTCCATTTATAAGGGATTCTCCATGGCTATGTTAAATGACCAGATGGTACCTGGTTTTTTTATCCCACGAATTTTCAGTCAGTGGCTTAGTAAATTCACCATGATGTGAAATGTCTATGGGGTAAGTAGAGTTAATCTGGTTGGTGGTTGAGCTATATGGGTTCGTCAGTTGGGATTAATATTCCCAATATATGGAAAAAACATGTTTGAAACCACCAACCAGTAATCCACTTATTTCACTGGGATGAGCTGCTTGCTCGCCACTCTTTTTTTTCGCGGGATGATCCGAAACAAAGTGCTGATCTTCCCTTCTGGCAATTTCGCCATCTGCGGAGAATCATCTACAAATGGATCAAAATGGGAAAAAGGCTCTTCCACGGCCATAAAATAATATGTTAATTTTCCAGTTAGTAACATATTTCCACTCAAAAACACCTAGCCCACATAGCTATGTTATGTCCACTGTGGCTCGAAGAAACAGGATCAAAACACACCAACACCAACCACCCGCGCCTCTGCGAAAATCAGAATCAAAATCATACCAACCTCGGGAATGAGGGATGGATCATCATGGACGACTCAACTGAAACTTGATGAAAGTTACCATCTGGTAAACATACAAAAAACTATGGAACATGACCATTTTTTATGGGAAAACTCACTATAAACGGCCATTTTCAATAGCTATGTTAGTTTACCAGAGGGTACATCGAGGGATTTTCCATCATGGTTCTGTGAAGACATCATGGTAAAATCCCTGAAAGGTGAAGTGGTTACATTGGAAACTGATGAAAATTACTACATCATGGTTGATCTTATGGTTGATCTTTGGTGTTTGATGAACATTATGGATTTCTATCACATACGGCTTGCCTGTAAAAAACAATCCCTAAATCACCAATTAATTCAAGAATGTGTGTGTGCCATTAGGTCACTCAATCGGTCATTTAGACTCGAGAACCGAAAAGCACACGCATTCCTACTCCTCTCTCATTGCCTAGAACTTCACCATCTCCAAGTATAGTAATCAAACAACCATTTTTCATCAATTATATCCACATATTGTTACATTGTTAATGGTTGAACACCCCGAATACAGGACATATCAATAATATCCCCTCATCATCCTATATTATCCCATATTGTTACTGGTTGAACCTATAATATACTACCAGTAGTACCGCGCAAGGCGGTGGCGGAAGTTTCAAAAATAGGAAACCTATAGGAGAGGTTGGTGGTTGTGAATCAGAGATGGCAGAGCGAAGCCACTGATGGACTGAAAGGTGCTTGATCTCTCTCACTCTTTCTCTCTCTTTCTCTGACTATCTACCTGCCTACCAACCTATCTTCTATGTATCTAGCTATCTATCGATCTATCTATCTATCTCTCTCTCTTTCATCTAATTACCTATCTATCTATCTATCTGTCTGTCTGTCTGTCTACCTGTCTATCTGTGGTGCAGTGTCATCCAGTGTAATGTAGTGTAGTGTAATGTAGTGTAGTGTATTGGAGTGTAGTGGAATGTAATGTAGTGTAGTGTAGTGTAATGTAGTGTGGTGTAATTCAGTGTAGTGGAGTGTAGTGGAAGGTAGTGTAGTGTAGTGTAATGTAGTGTAGTGGAGTGTAGTGGAGTGTAGTGTGGTGGGGTGTAGTGGAGTGTAGTTGTGTAGTTGCGTAGTTGTAGTTGTAGTGTTGTGGAGTGTAGTGTAGTGGAGTGTAGTGTAGTGGAGTGTAATGTAGTGTAATTTAGTGTAGTGGAGTGTAGTGGAGTGTAGTGGAGTGTAGTGGAGTGTAGTTGTGTAGTTGTAGTTGTACTTGTAGTGGAGTGTAGTGTAATGTAGTGAAGTGTAGTGGAAGGTAGCGTAGTGTAGTGTAATGTAGTGTAGTGAAGCGAAGCGAAGGGACATCTGAACCTCCAAAAGTGGTCCGAACCCCTAGTGTTTTAACATTTTGACTTCGAAATGTGCTCCGCGCCACAACGGCATGCACTTTTTCGACATCTGAACCTCCAAAGGTGGTCCGTACATGGTGTGTTTTGTACATGTTGACTTGGAAATGTGCTTCGCGCCACAACGGCGTGCACTTTTTCGACATCTCAACTTCCAAAAGTGGTCCGAGAATGGAGTGTTTTGTACATTTTGACTTCCAAATATGCTTCGCGCCACAACGGCGTGCACTTTTTCAACATCTCAGCTGCCAAAAGTGGTCCGGAGCTGGTGTGTTTTGTGCATTTTGACTTGGAAATGTGCTTCACGCCACAACGGCGTGCACTTTTTCGACATCTCAACTTCCAAAAGTGGTCCGAGAATGGTGTGTTTTGTACATTTTGACTTCGAAATGTGCTTCTGGCCACAACGGCGTGAAATTTTTCATCTCTCATCTCGCCAGCTGGCTCCGCACCCGCCGCTTTAGCGAGCCTACTTTTCGACCCTCCGGAGCCCCAAATCATTGGAAAAACACAGTGTTTCGCGACTTTCCTACCTTTTCTCGCATCTGCATCTTCTTTCTTCTGACTCTTTCTCTTCTACTCTTCTTTCTTCTAATCTTTCTCTTCTCTCTGCCTCTTCCCTGCTCTGCTTTTCATCTGTCCATATTGTCGTAAGTTTGACTTCTAAACTTCCTTCGATTATTATCCCTGTGTTATCCCACATGTATTATGTCCATTTTATCCTATATTGTCCCCCATATTAACCCATACTATCCCATATTATATAATTGTTATATTATCAATGGTTTATTTATCAGTTATATATAGCATCCCCATATTATCCTATACTATCTCATATTGTTAATGTTTAAACCCCCTAAAAATGGTGCTTACCCTCTGGTATACTATCATAACAATGGAAAAAAACGGTGCATCATCCCACGAATCGTAAGTGGGTTAGTTCAGCACAATGAAACAAATGGATTAACTATGGATTAACTCTACTTATTTCACTTGGGTTTTTCCGAAGCCACTTACTTTATTTGTGGGATGAGCCACCAAGTATATTATCCCATATGATCCTATATGATTTTCCATTTATCCTATACTGTCCCCATTAATAACCTAGATTATGCCATGTGACCCCCATCAACCCCATCATATCCACATATTATCCCATATTTACCCAGGAACGATGTTTCTCCCAACTATCGTTGACGGTCAAACCTCCTATAAATGGTGCTATCAACCCCATCAGACCCTCTCTCTTCCCCCCCCTTTTTCACATCACCATACTTATAATCACCATAAACTCTAGTTTCAGACCTGCTCAATTGAAGACTGACTTTCAGGGTACCCTCTGGTAATTTAACATAGCCATAAAACATGACCTTTTATAGTTGATGTACCTATCAAAAGTGGTGATCTTCCAGTTCGCAAACTGTTAGTCGACCAGAGGGTGAGCCCGTATTAATTATCCCATTATCATCCAATATTGCTATATTGTTAATGGTTCATGTATCAAGTCTATATAGCATCCCCATATTATCCTACAAGGTGGTGCCCCAGTTCGTTGGCTAAGTTGGTGTAAATAAGTCCAATAACTAGGGTTGATTTGCGGGTTTTATCAGCACTTGCGAAAGGGAGCTCATCATGTAGGGGTTTAGCCAAGATAGATTTTTATGCATTGGCTGTCTCCAACTCTACATGTCTCAGAAAGTCTTTAAGAGACAAAGAGACAAAGAGAGAAGAATAGATAAATTCCAAGAAAGACACTTAGCATGTTCAAATCGAATTCCTGCCTGTTGGGCTCGAGAGGATCAAGCGTAACCCATTGAAATACATGCATGAGCTGTGGACTGAGAACATTGGGGATTTACTTTGAGTCTCTGCCATTGTACCAAGTCCATGTTGTGTGGATTTGACAATGTTGTATGATGGTGCATGTGTCAAGTGATGGTGGTTACTGTGAAGCATATCAACTCAGGCGTTGTGTCAAGTGCTGACTTGTTCATGCATGTAGGATTCCGGAACATGTTTGGCTGGCTTGATCATCTTCGAACAGCTTCCTAGGACGGGGTGGCTATTGCTGACTGAGCGGTCTTGGGGTAGGATTCCCTTCCTGCAGGGTGGATGGCTGAACGGTTTCTGATGTGAATGCTATCTCTATTTTTCTCCATGTTTCTCCAATGTTCTCTATTTTTTTTATAATTATCTATTTTGCGCTATGTTGCTCTATGCTTCTTTTCCAACTAAACATCAATTATAAAATATCAACTTTTTTTCAATATTTCTCTATGTTTCTCTATGTTCTCCATGTTTCTATGTTTTTCTCTATTTTGCTCTGATGTCATAGTGGTTGGCGTGTGCCTCTTAAGAACCATCATTTTTGGCTGACTGACCCTTGCTGGTCAACACTCGGCAGCACTTGGTGGTGGACTGACACACTTGATAACGTTTGACAACACCTGACATCTTTTGAAAACAATTGAAAGCATTGAACGAGATCTGACAACATGGGACAACACTTGACAGCACTTGCGCCGGATAGAACTTGATAGGGCCTGAGACCTGAAAACAACACTGGATCACTGTGTTTTTCCATTGGACCTGAGCCTTTCTGGCGTCCATTTCTTTCTTGGGTTTTCTTAATCCTTCTCTATTCTTCTCTACTTGTCTCAAAAAGACTTTTTAAGACATTTTGAGTTGCCAACAACCCTTATATAATTCAATTACACAAAACAACTCTTAAATAATCAAATCGATCATAAGTAAACCCCTCGAATACAAGCCCCTTTTTGGTGCTGCTGATTATATATATACAAATGTAATGGTGATTACAAACCAACTTATAACTGGTGGGTACATGGGGGTACCACCTTGTATACTACAGTTAAGGCCCTTTACCAGTTATAAGTCAGTTATAATCTCATGTAGGGAATGATTTTGTCCCATTTATAACCATACTGGTATTTCGGGCCTTAACTGCAGTATATCCCCAATTATTCCATCTCTTCCAATATACACATATAATGGGGATTATAAACCAACTTTTTCCCTGGGTGGTACCACCTTGTATACTATCCCTATGGATCCAAGTACCTTCTTAGGAAGTGTTTGAGGTATAATTTACTATAATTTGGAGGGTTAGCCGTACCTTCTCACACAGTGGCCATGGATCCATACAGTTAAGGCCCGAAATACCATTCTAAATGGTGAACAACATGGTTATAAATGGGGTTATAATTCCTTAAATGAGATTATAACTGACTTATAATTGGTATTTCGGGCCTTAACTGTAGGGTATCTCATAGTGTCTTCATGGTACCCCCGACCTTCGGATACCTTCGGCTGCCAGGCTCCCTCGCCCCGTCGCCAAGCAACAAAGAGTCTCGGCTGTTGGGCGTTGGCGCGCACCCCAGCATCGCCCACGATGCCAATGGCCAGTCCCGCGGCCAGCGAACTCATGCCCACCGTCAGGCCTCGAGGGATCTGGGGATCCCCAGATGATGGGGGGTTCTTCGAAAGTTCAAGGGAAGTTGGGAGATTTCGATATGACCCCTATATAACTATAGTATAACTATAGTAATGATAACTATAGTATAACTATAGTAATAATAACTATAGTATAACTATAGTACTATATCAACTATTCCTGGAGATATGGGCGCCTAGTTAGATGGTAGTTTGGTAAACCCAATGCCATAAACCATCTCCGAATAGAGCTTATGGCATTGGGTATACCCCTGCGACTGGGACGATGTAAATTGGTCCCCAGTCATGCTTGGTGACAAAGGGATAGTTTATGACATTGGGTTTGCCACATTATATGTTCAGTTAACTATTGCCACAGAAGCATACATTGTAAATTGGTTGTAGCCCTACTATATCCCAAAAGTCAAAATCGCCATTGATGTTGGCATTTCTGGTTTGATTTTCTCCCTCTATATATTGCGCTTGCTGCTCCACCCAGTTTGTTTCCTCTTGGGACTGGTTGGGAGCTTCAGTACAGGTGGAGGTTTCCGTTTCGTCATCGGGCTAGCCCCAGTTATCATCCATTTTCTTGTTAACGGATTGTCCAGGAAATAAATCATCCATCCAGCTATTGGGGTACCCCCATGACTATGGAACCCCCCTATTTCACAACCATCAGAAAAACAGGTTATCATAATCACCAGTAAATTACATTAGGTAGTCCCAAAGGCAACCAAATCAACCAGGGATACCCAGGCTATTTTCTTCATGGCTCACGACTGGGACCAGGCCCGCAGATAACCCGACCTGCACCCAGGTGTGCGTAGCCGGAGTAGGCGGAATAGTTGGCAGCATCCATCTTGCCGTTGATGATCACCTGCCACCGGGTCAACATGTTGCTTGGAATAGGGGATTTAACGCAAAACACAGAATGTCACAACAGATGATAAGATCATGTGGATTTGTTCATTGAGGTTTCTGTTGGTTGAGCTTGAAACCAATAACTTAGCTATGGTTAATGGTAGCTAACTTTAAGTTATTGTAGCTCAGTAATGAACTAGCCCTGACAAACAGTTGTTGATGGTGAATAAACCCTTACTATACCAATATCAAACACCCCCCTACAGGCTGCGAAGTGAGTCAATCCTCTACTGAACTAGGGTTTTCTGAGGCTGTTCAACCGGGCAAGGGATCATAAACCTTTACTATTCGGCTGATGTTTGTTCACCTATTTTGACTGGATTTGTTCCCCCAGTTTCGGAAGTGAAGTTCAGTCTCCACCAATGATGGCCCCGCTGCCAGCTATTGTGACATGGGTCAAGTTCAGTGGTAGTTATGGTCAGTAGTGGGAATTCCACAATTCATGAATGTATTACAATGTGGGGTCCCCTAGATAGCTAAGTTGGTTTATAACTTTAGTAACTATGGTTTATGATACTTATACAGTAACTTATAGCTATACTGAGTGGATTTTTTTGAGCCCACTTATAGCTGGTCGTAATCACATTTAATTACTCTCAATGGGGCATGACTATCCTGGAACGTGGTTTAATAGTGGTCAATCAAATCCAACTTTTGACCTTTGACATGGCACACATGTCGAAAGAAACCTAAGACAGAAGCCGGTAGGTCGGGACAAACCCTAAATTGCTCTCATATACTGCATTTTTTCTGGATGAAATACATCAATTTCATTATAACCCCAGTTGTAAGTGGAGTAACTATACTTATCCCAGTTATATTTGGGGCGAACTGACCCACTTACGATTCGTGGGATGAGCTACCAAGTAAATTATATACACAAATTAGTTCCACAAGGTGGTGCCCCCTCAGTTATAAATGGGTTATAATCCCATGAAAACTATAGATATATCAACAAATAAACCATAATCATTGGACTTATTTGCACCAACTTCGCTCCAAGTCGACGGTCTGGTCTCATCGGTCGGCACTCCAGGGCCATGAGGAAAAAGCTGGTACCAAGTTGCGACTGCTTCAGCTCCTTAATAGACAGATGAGGCAGACTTCTCCTCGGGGGTGTAGCGCGCTTCCGAAAAGGTCAGGGGCTACCTACCATCGTACCACCAAAGCGTGGCTGTAGAGGCACTGAAGAGCCTTCCCTCCGAAGTATGGTGCAGGTCGCCAAGCCATAGATGTACCGCTGTGTCCATGGACAGGATGGTGAAGTGGATCTTAGCCTTGCCCAACCTTTGATAACGGCACCAATGAAAATCACCTTCACGGCCCCTGAAAAAAAAAGGCACAATCAAAAATTCGGTCGTTCCCCACAGAAAACCCTTCTCGCGTGGGTAATCCAACCATCTAATCTGTCGAAAAAACCTCATGCCAGTGGGTGGCACATCTTTCGACAAAGTTTGCATGATTTACCATTTTTTTTTTTCTGGCCGTTGCGGCCGTGGCTTTGATAAAAACCCTTAGAGGTTTGGGTTAGTTTACCAATTGATGATATATTGTATTATAACATATATACATATATACATATATACATACATTTTACTAAATAATATTAAATTATATTAAATTAAAGTATATTATATTATTATGTTATATTAATCTATTATGTTACATATATATTACATTAAAATATTATATGATAATATGTTATATTATATTAAATTAAATTAGCATATATATATATTTATAATAATATAATATATTAATTCATATTAAAATTTGAATTATATTATAATATAAAATTTAATATTATACTCAAGGAAACAAAAAATCAACCATTTATATTAAGATACTTACGGAAAACAACACACCAACCATTGATATTAAGATAGCTAAGGAGGAAACCAAGACATCAACCATTGATATTGAGATACTGAAGGAAAACACATCAACCATTGATATCAAGATACTTCAGGAAAACACATCAACCATTGATATTTAGAAAGCAAAGGAGGGAAAACAAACACATCAACCATTGATATGAAAATATTTAAGGAACACAACACATCAACCATTGGTATTAAGATACTTAAGGAACACAACACATCAACCATTGATATAAGGATACTTAAGGAAACACACATCAACCATTGATGTTAAGATACGTAAGGAAAAACAACATCAACCATTGATATTAAGATATGTAAGGAAAAACAACACATCAACCATTGATATTAAGGTAGGGAACATAAATAACAAAGCAAGGTGTCATCCAAAAATTCACATATGTCATCCCAAATATTTGATCTTTCCTTTTCTAATATTTTGCATCATCCTGAGGAAATCCCCATGGCTAAGATGGTCGAACCCGCCGTTGCTTCGCGATTGGCTCGATTGCTTGGCGAACATCACTCCCATTTCACTATGGTTTATGGGTGCATATGGATGTTGAAAAGGCTCTTTGAAGTATATTCATGGGTAAAACAAAACCAACAAACATAACTGGGCCCCACATTGCATAGGTATAGTCACTCTAGTGTACAAGTTAAGCGCAACTGAACAATTGATATATATATATATATGTGTATGTATATAAGGTTTCCTACAAAGGGGTATCCCCAAATCATCCAAACTAATGACAATCTTAGCATAATGAAACCTATGGTGACATGGTGACGCCCTGGGATGCCCTATTTTAAGAACTAGCCATATGGATCAATCCACTTCTTTCCATACATCTAGTCTTGTTCCCCACCTGCCAGGTGAGGGTTGTTAGATTTTATGTCAGTTGCCTCCTCCTGCCTCGTCCTCCTCCTCCTCCTCCTCTCCTCCTCTCCTCCTCGTCCTCCTCGTCCTCCTTGTCATCCTTGTCGTCCTTGTCGTCCTCGTCGTCCTCGTCGTCCTCGTCGTCCTCGTCGTCCTCGTCGTCCTCGTCCAACTGCGACCCGCGATCCACAGTGTTCTCTGCCGGACCTCAACCACGACCATCCACGCCCAGTGTTCCCTGCCGGACCTCAACCACGACCATCCACGCCCAGTGTTCCCTGCCGGACCTCAACCACGACCATCCACGCCCAGTGTTCCCTGCCGGACCTCAACCACGACCATCCACGCCAGTGTTCCCTGCCGGACCTCAACCACGACCATCCACGCCCAGTGTTCCCTGCCGGACCTCAACCGCGAGTATCCACGCCAAGTGTTCCCTGCCGGACCTCATGTAGGAAGATATGGAACAAAGAATGTGCAGAAGAAAGTTAGAAAGAATGTGCACCGCTGGACCTCAACGGCCAGATAGAATGCCAGAAGATATGCCAGGCGGAATGTCAGATAGAATGCCAGAAGATATGCCAGATAAAATGCCATGAGATATGCCAGATAGAATGCCTGAAGGTATGCCAGAAGATATGCCAGATGGTATGCCAGATAAAGTGCCAGAATGTTTGCCAGATAGAATGCCAGAACATTTGCCAAAAAGAATGCCAGATAGGATGTCAGAAGATATGCCAGATAGAATGCCAGATAGAATGCCAGAAGATATGCCAGAACATATGCCAGATAGAATGCCAGAAGGTATGCCAGATAAAATATCAGATAGAATGCCAGAAGGTATGTCAGAATGTTTGCCAAATAGAATGCCAGAAGATTTGCCAGATAGGATGGCAGAAGATATGCCAGAACATATGCCAGAAGGTATGCCAGGTAGAATGCCAGAAGGTATGCCAGATCGAATGCCAGAAGATATGTCAGATAGAATGCCAGAAGATTTGCCAGTAACAAATCGATAAATGTCATGGTGGGGATCACACGAAGTAAAGTAATTGTATCTAATGATTTTTTGGATGGAAAATATATCGTTGACGATCCCGTCTATTTTTGTGAGTTAGAACCTTTCAAATATAGTTACTTCTAAGATAAATCCACTAAGATAATATAAGTATATATATATACTTATACTATCAACCGTGTATATATATAAACACACTTATATTATCAAGCATTATATATATATACCCAAAAGCTCCATGTATGGAATATTTACCTACATTTACACAAACAATTGCCCAGTTTTGTAGGTAAACATTCCAGCACCATGGAGCATCTGGGATATGTATATGGTTGATCATAACAGTATATATATACACTAAGATAAATATATAAATATAAGATAATCCACTAAAATAATCACATAAATATATATATATACACTTATATTATCAACCATTATATATACTTACACACTTATATTATCAACCATATATATATATATACTATAAATGTTACTAACCACTCCTAACCCTTCTTGTGCCACATCACAACCCTCCGACCCCACCGCGGTGATCAAGCCGTAGATTCCCAAGACTCCGGCCATGACCTGGGCGGTGCTATGCGTCGCTGAGAGCGTTGCTGGGGTAGTTGGGATCATGAGACCCCATAAATACCATGGTTAATATGGGGAAAAAACCATGGTTAATATGGTTGTTTCCTAAAATAGGGCTACCCCTAGTTATCATCCATTTTTATAGAATTTTATAGATGGGATTTAGCGTACCCTCTGGTAAACTAACATAGCAATGGAAAATCACCATTTTTAATGGGAAAATCCACTATTTCTATGGCCATTTTCAATAGCTATGTTAAATTACCAGAGGGTATGGGGAAAAATAAAATTCAAAGTACATAGGGATTAGATGGGCATATATGGGCATAAAAAATGGCATAATATAGGGATGATATAGGAATCTTCATATCTATACTGGTTTTTCTCTGGGGAATATATGGGGATAATACTGTGTAGTATATCATATTATATTCTTAACAATGGGTATAACTGAGTATAACTATGAATGGCTATTCAACAATGGTTATGATATGTTATAATTTACATATATATATATATAATCATGGGGATATGATTCTGAAAAATATGAGTTCGTCAGTTGGGATAATGAAATTCCCCAACTGAATGGAAAAATCAAACATGTTCCAAACCACCAGCCAGGGATAATACCGTGTATATAGTATATCATGTTATATTCTTAATATGTCTCAAAATAATTTGACATAAAATCATAATCACCATAAATCACCATTAAATCACCATGATATCACCATGAAATCACCAGCTTAGCTATCGACCAAAAGGGGGCTGATAAACCGAAAATCCATCCCTTTTGCCTTGCTCTGAGCATCCCGGCCACTGGGATGATGGACTTCATGATCATGTCAGGACGCATGACCTCAAACCCAGGTAATTGGGGTGTTTAATATTAGGGTGATTTGGGAAACCATGTTTTTTTTTGTAGGGCGTATCCACATTTTTTTGGGACCATGCAAGTGGGGTGTTTAATGTTATGATGGGATAAGTGCAATTTGGCGATTTGAAGGATTTCAGCACTGAAATTTGAGGATTCATGGCCAATCTGCCAGATAGCCTGCAAAGAAAATGCAACTGCTTAGCTGGTGAACGTAGATGATACAAATGATACCAAAAGACTAAAGGATTAGTTTCTACCCATCCAGTTGGTTGACCTAGATGGAAATGATGTTTTCGACCAGTCGGAAAAAAAAAACGACAAAAACGGCGGGAAAATACGCGGATTTTAGATGGAACATCCATGGGGAAAGTATGGAAGACATGACGATTTCATATGGTTGTTTCCTAAAATAGGGCTACCCCTATAGTTATCATCCATTTTTTAATCGAATTTTGTAGATGGGATTTATGGATTTAGCTTCACAAAAACCCTCCAGCGGTATATAAAGGGGTATTCCCATGACGATGGAAACTCCCAGGGCCCTAAAGACCTGGCCGAAGTGATTGGGTCATCTTGGCTAGCGTGAACCGAAACGCCTGAAAATTTGTTGTGGCTGAAAAAACGATGGTTTATGGTAGATATAACATGATATTTCGCAAACTATAGTATTCATAGGGATGTTTGGTTTTTAAACCAACTTATCACCATATGTCCATGATATCCCCCTTAACAATGGGATTTCCATTGTTTCATGGTTTATAAACCAAGGTTCACATCACTGGGGGGGCCCATCCTGTAGCCACCTTTTTCATGACGCTGGAGGCTAATCATCCCGAAAGGGGACACTGGTTGGTGGTTGACCTACCCCTCTGAAAAACATGACTTCGTCAGATGGGATGATTATTCCCAATATAGCCAATATATGGAAAATATTCCACATATATGGATAAATATATGGAAAATGATGGAGTGACTTCGTCAGTTGGGATCATGAAATTCCCAATAGATGGAAAGTCATAATCCATTCATGTTCCAGTCACCACCAACCAGAAATTCAACAAAAAAACAAATAGCTGCAAGGTGGTGCCCCCTACAGTGATAAGTTGGTTTATAATCCCATTAACTATAGATATCTATAGATATAACCCCCTAATCAACCCTAGTTATTGGACTTATAAACCAACTTAGCTAAACTATGGGGCACCACCTTGTGCCTTTGAAATACAAAACACCAGTAAGAAGGGTTTCAAATGAACAGATCCAATATGAAATCATGATGAAATGCCGGTGGTATTTTCTCAGGTGGCCCAACTGGGTATTTGACAAAAAAATGGCAGTTATCACCGATGCATCTCAGTTATTTTGTGGTGACATTATCAGTTTTTTATGTTGTTATATCTCCATTCTATCCCCATATTGGCATTTATTGCTATATCAACATTAACATCCATTACAGTACCTTTTTTTTTGGTCGTAGTTTTGGATCACCACTCCATTAGAAATCACTGAAAGTCCATTCAAACTTCATGAAAACTCCATCAATTCAAATTTCTTCTTGATCAAATCTCTAAATATTCTTGCTTAGAATCCATTTTTTCTCCATGTTTCTCCAGTTCTTCCATCATTTTGCCACAATGTGAGGCCCCCAAGATAGCTAAGTTGGTTTATAACTCCAATAACCCTGGTTTCTGGTACTTATAACTATAGTTACTGAAGCTTATAAACCAACAAACATCACTGGGGGGCCTCACATTGCAGGTGTTTGGCCTCCATTTTTTCCCGGCTCGTTCCACCTTGAAACCACCCGTTCCACCGTGTCCAGGTGTCTCCCATGGAGGCGATGCCCACACCGCTCTTGGCGGTGCCGTAGGCCGCGCCCAGGTTGGCGAAGACCAGGGCAGAGGTGACGCCCATGAAACTCGGACGAGGCGTTGTGGGTAGTTTAGGAAAACTATAGGATAAGCCCAAAGAGTATCCCCAACAGCGAGAAACAAAAACAGTTGCCAAACACGCAATGAATGAAGTATGTTTATTGCCCCGCCCTTTTTACTCTAGAGGTCGGGCGTGCAAGCTGCAATCACGGCACAAACACTATATGAAAAAAACGTTTTTCCAAAAGCGTTTGCGATACTGTGGCCAACATGCCCGAAGCTCGTGCAAAGGGTTCTCTTCCCAAAGAACTGCTGTCCGCCTCACTCTTCACTTCATCTACCTAACATACATCATCCACATCTTTTTTGTCCTTTACATCACCTACATCTTCTATACCATCTTCTAGACCATCTTCCCTATATTTACATCTACATCTACACCATCAGCACCATCATCATCATCATCATCATCACCTACATTTGTCTCACCTACATTATCCACACCACCTACACATTTGTCCATCAACCTCATCTATATGACATGTTTTATCTACAACACATACATTACCGGCATCATCATCACCTACATCACTACATCCTCTACATCACCCACATCACCTACATCTTCTGCACCATCGTCCCTGCATCATCATTATCATCATCATCACCACCACCACCACCATCATCATCATCTATCTCACCTACACCATCTACATCACCTACCCACTCTTTTTCCATCAGCTCGTCTACATGACATGCATCATCTACAACGCATACATGCCCTACATCATCATCTATATCGCTGCATCCCTACATCACCTACCTCTTCAAACCTATCTAACCTTACATCACTTACAAGACTTACAACATCATCCTCATCATCTACAATATACATAGACAACGACACCTACATCAGCTACAGGTGATCAACTTCTAGGGAACTCCTACAAAACTTGAAAAATGTTGTTTACACAGGAGTTGACTTGCAGGTGATCCACTTCTACTTGAACTCCTACAAGAGTCCTGCCTGCAAGGTCATTTGCACAGAAATTGTTGCACAGGAGTTGCTACACAGGAGTTCAGCTAACTTCCAGTGATCAAATTGTATGTGAACTCCTGCAAAATCAGACTTCTCCAGTTCTTCTATTTCTCTCTGGCGGCAGCGACAGCCAGGCGGTGGCTTACGAAACGTTACCCTCTGCGGCGTGTCGGATACCCAAACGTGTGGCGAAATGCGGGTCTTGTTTGTCCTTGGGCCCGCCTGCGGAGACAGAGATCGCGCAGGTCGGACATCCAAACACGTGGCAAAATGCAAATTTGGCAGGGCCCGGCGCAGCCCCTTCGCACGAAATGAGGGTCAACCATCAAAAACTGGTGTATTTTGAAAGTTCAGATGCAAGCGTGGCATGAAAGCTAAACGGCAATAACTGTGGGAAAACTGAGCTTTTTTTAACGTCAGATGCAAACGTTCAAGAATTGGTGTAAAATTGCGACTTTATCCATTTTGGATCGTCAGGCACAACTGTTTCACGCGAAATAAAACTGGTGTAAAAATGCGATTTTACAAGGTCAGGCGCAACCCATTTCACGCAAAATGATTGTCCAACGTCAAGAATTGCGATTTTCCAACGCCGGATGCAACCCTTTCGCACGATATGATGGCCAAACGTCAAAAACGTAAAATTGCGACTTTTTGAAGTGTGTAAAAGCTGCTCTGTGGAATCGGTTTTTCTGTGGGAAAGCGTCTGTGTGTAAAGGCTTCTCTGTGTAAAAGCTTCTGTGCGTAAAAGCCCTGTGTGTACAAGCCTTCTGTTTGTAAAGACGTCTGTGTGTAAAAGCTCGTGCTCAAAAGCTTCTCTGTGTAAAAGCTTCTGTGGAAAAGCTTGTGTGTGTAAAAGCTTCTGTGTGTAAAAGATTCTCTGTGTAAAGGCTTCTCTGTGTCAAAGCTTCTGTGATTCTCTGAAAAACCATCTGTGTCTAAAAGCTTCTGTGTGCATAGGCGTGTATATGTCAAAGCCTCTCTGGGTAAATGCTTCTGTGTGGAAAGGCATCTGTGTTCAAAAGCTTCTATGTGTAGAAGCATCTGCCGCATCTGTGTGAAGAACTTTTGTGTAAATGCCTCTATGTGTAAAGACCTGTCTGTGTAAAAGCTTGGGCATTTGCGTGTTTAAAGTTTCTGTGTGTATAAGATTGTATAAGCTGCTCTGTGCAAAGGCCTCTCTCTGTGTAAAAGCTGCTCTGTGTAAACCCTGCTCTGTGAACAAGCTTCTATGCGTAAAAGCGTCTGTGTGTAAAAGCTCTGTGTGTACAGGCGTGTGTGTGTAAAGCTTTTGTGTGTGTGTAAAGCTTTTGTGTGTAAATGCTTCTGTGTTTGACAGATGCTCTGTGTAGAGGCTTCTCTGTGTAAAGCTTATGTGTAAAAACTTCTGTGCGTAAAAGCCTGGGGGCGTTTGTGTGCAAAAGCTGCTCTGTGCATCTCTGTGTAAAAGCGTCTGTGTGTAAAAGCTGCTCTGTGTAAAGGCCTCTCTGCGTCAAACCTTCGGTCTGTAAGCTCTGTGAACAAGCTTCTATGCGTAAAAGCGTCTGTGTGTAAAAGCTCTGTGTGTATGTAAAGCTTTTGTGCGTGTAAATGCTTCTGTGTATTATAAAAGATGCTCTGTTTAGACGCTTCTCTGTGTCAAAGCTTCTCTGTGTAAAGCTTCCGTGTGAAAACCTCTGTGCGTAAAAGCCCTCTCTGTGTAAAGGCCTCTCTGCGTCAAAGCTTCAGTGTGTAAAAGCTGCTCCGCATAAACGCTGCTCTGTGAAAACAAACCTAAGTGTAAAAGCTGGTCCGCGCAAAGGCTTCTCTGTGTGAAAGCTGCTGTATGTAAAAACCGTTTGTGCTCAAAGTTCCTTCCCACAAACGCTTGTCTGTGAAAAAGCTTCTCTGTGCAAAATCTTCTCTGTGTAAAAGCTTCTGTGTGTAAAAGCTTCTGTGTGTAAAGGCATCTCTGTGCAAAAGCTTCTGTGTAAAAGCTTTCCTGTGAAAAGGCTGTAAAAGTTTCTGTGTCTAAAAGCTTCTTTTTGTAAGGCATGTGTGTGCAAAAGCTCCTGTGTGTAAAAGCTTGGGCATCTGCGCGTTAAAGTTCCTGTGTGTAGAAACTTCTTTGTGAAAAAGCGTCTGTGTGTAAAGCTGCTCTGTTTAAAGGCTTTCTGTGGTGACAAGGCTTTTCTGTGTAAAAGCTTCTGTATATAAAAGCGTCTGTGTGCAAAAGCGTCTGTGTAAAAGCTGCTCTGTGTAAATCCCTCTCTGTGTAAAGGCTTCTGTGTGTAAAATCTTCTCTGTGTAATTTTTTTCGCTGTGTAAAGACAACGTGTCTTTTGATTCTGACTGTCGCTCAGGTGCCAGCCCTGGAGCAAACCCTCTGCGGGGAGAAAAAAGGCATGAAATCGTGGATATATATAACATTTGACTCGCGTCAGCTATCATTCATCATCATCTCCATCGCCATTCATCCTCGCCATCGTCATCGCCATCACTATCGTCATCATCATCATCATCATCATCACCATCATCATTTTTCTTGTGTATGATCTTCTCGTCTCTTCCCTCCTGCTTTCTTTCATGCCACGCTGTCGTCTAGTGTTTCTATCCATGTGCGGGTGCCGTATCATGTTTTGAAGCAAAACTAGTTCTTCTTCAATCTCTCCATTCCGTTATTAGAACAAGTCTTCAAACTTTGCAGTTCTCCTGATTCTGTTGTTCAATGTTCTTGGAACCTTGCCTGGGCAACTGTTCTTGGACACGTTGCTTGACACTTCGGAACCTTGCTTGGTAACCTGTTCTTGGGAGCCTATTCTTAGGAACCCGCTCTTGGGAGCATTGCCTGGTAACCTGTTCTTGGGAACTCTCTCTTGGGAACCTGTTCTTGGAACTTTGCCTGTTTGCTTCAAACCTGTTCATTGGGACCTTGCTCGGGAACCTGGTTTTCGTAACTTTGCTTGGGAACCTTGTTTAGGAACCTGTCCTTCGGAACCTTGCTTGGGATTCTGTTCTTGCTTCCAACCTTGCTTGCAGATGTTGGTTGAAATTTCGCTTTGCAAGTTGTTCTTGGAAAGCTGTTCCTGGGAACATGAGCAACCTGGAACCATGCTTGGGAACGTGTTCGTGGGAACCGTGCTGGCAACCTATTGCTCGGAACCTTCCTGGAGAATTTGTTCTTGGAACCTGAACCAGTTCTTGGGAACCTGTTCTTCGAACCCTTGCTTGAGAACCTGTTCTTGCGAAGCTTGCTTGCAAACCTGTCCTTGGGCACCTTGCTTGGGACCTGTTCGTGGAAACCTTGCTTGGGAACCTGTTCCCAAGGACCTTGCTTGGTAACCTTGCTACCCTGCAAGCAAACCTGTTCTTGGAACTCTTGCTTGGGAACTTGAGGCACTGTTCTTGGAACCTTGGGAACTTGTTCCTGGGAACCTTGCTTGGCAACTGTTTCTGGAACCCTTGCTTGGGAACCTGTTCTTGGGAACCTGACTTGGAAATCATTCCTGGTAACCTTGCTTGCGAACCTGTTCCTGGTAAATTTGACTGGAAATCTTGTTCTTAGGGTGGCTGAAGACCCCAACCTTACGCTGTTGGGGAAAAAGTTCCCAAGCAAGTTCCAAGGAAGAGGTTCCCAAGCAGGTATCCAGGAAGAAGTTCCCAAGCAAGGCTAATTAAGCTCTTAGGAACCGCTTGCAAGTACGGTTCCCAAAAACCGTTCCCAAGCAAGGTCCCAGGAACCGTTTCGGTGCAAGGTTCCAAGCAGGAACAAAGCTTGCAGGAACAGGTTCCCAAGCAAGCGTTCCCAGGAAGAGCTGGTTCCCAAGCAAAATTTCCAAGAGCAACTGGGAACCCTTGCGTGCGAACCTCTTCCTGGGAACCTTGCTTGAGAACCTCTTCCTAGCAACCTTGCTTCAGACTCTGTTCCTGGGAACCTTGCTTGGGAACCTTTTCCTGGAAACATTGCCTGGGAACTTTTTCCGGGAACCTTACTCGTGAACCTGTTATTGGGAAACTTGTTTGGGAACCTGTTCCTGGGAACCTGTTGCTTGGGAACCTCTTCCTGGGAACCTTACTTGTGAACCTGTTCTTGGGAACCTTGTGTGGGCACCTGTTCCTGGGAACCTGCGGCTGGGAACCTTGCTTGGGAACCTCTTCCTGGAAATATTGCTTGGGAACCAGCTTGCTGGGAACCTTGCTTGGACACCTCGTCGTGGAAACTTCTTCCTGGAAACACTTGTTTGAACAAAACCTGTTCTGGGAACCTTGTTTTGCTTGGAAAAGCATGTCCCTGGAAATCTTGCTTGGGAAATGGTTCCTGGAAACCTTGAAAACGGTTCCTGAAATCCGTGCTTGCAAAACCTGTTCCTGGGAACCTTGCTTGGGAACCTCTTGCTGGGAACCCTTGCCTGGGAACCCTTGCTTGGGAACCTGTTTCCTGGGAACCTTGCTTGGAACCGCTTGGGAACCTTGCCTGGGAACCTCTTCCTGGCAACATTCCTCTTGGCAACCTCTTCCTGGGAAGCCTTGCTTGGGAATCTGCTCCTGGTAACTTTGCTTGGGAACCTTGCATTGCTGGGACCCTCTTCCTGGGAACCTTGCTTGGAACCTATTCCTGGGAACCCTTGCTTGGGAACCTCTTCCTGAGAACCTTGCTTGGGAACCTCTTGCTGGGAACCCTTGCTTGGGAACCGGTTCCTGGGAACCTTGCTTGCGAACCTTGCTGGTAACCTTGCTTGGGAACCTTGCCTGGGAACCTTTGTTGGGAACCTTGCTGGGAACCTCTTCCTGGGAACTTCTTCCTGGGAACCTCCTCCTGGGAACCTTGTCTGGGAACTTTGCTTGGGAACCTTGCTGGGAACCTCTTCCTGGGAACCTTGCTTGGGAACCTTGCCTGGGAACCTTGCTTGGGAACCTTGCCTGGGAACCTTGCTGGGAACCTCTTCCTGGGAACCTTGCCTGGGAACCTTGCTTGGGAACCTTGCCTGGGAACCTTGCTGGGAACCTCTTCCTGGTAACCTTGCTTGGGAACCTTGCTTGGGAACCTTGCTTGGGAACCTTGCCTGGGAACCTTGCTTGGGAACCTTGCTGGGAACCTCTTCCTGGTAACCTTGCCTGGGAACCTTGCTTGGGAACCTTGCCTGGGAACCCTTGCCTGGGAACCCTTGCTTGGGAACTTGCTTGGGAACCTCTTGCTGGGAACCCTTGCTTGGGAACCGGTTCCTGGGAACCTTGCTGGTAACCTTGCTTGGGAACCTTGCTTGGGGAACCTTTGTTGGGAACCTTGCTGGGAACCTCTTCCTGGTTGCTAGGAACCGTTGCTTGGGAACCTGTTCCTGGGAACCTTGCTTGGGAACCTCTTGCTGGGAACCCGGTTCCCAACCTTGCGCCGTGCCGATCTGGCTGCCCCGAAGGATTCTCCCGTAAAAGGAAACTCCTCCCCGGAACCTTCCCCGGAACCCGGTTCCCAGCGGATTTGGCTGCTCCGACCTGCTCCGGAACCTTTACTATGGCTGAAGACCCCAAGCTTACGCTGTTGGGGAAAAACTATAGGAAAATAGGGATTTCATGGGATTTATAGCTGATTTACGATAGCTAAGTTGTTTAATAACTCCAATAACTATGGTTGATGATACTTATAACGAAAGTTCATGGGGCTTATAAACTATATTTAAGAAAGCACCAACCAGAAATGGGTATGGTATCATGAACTTGTTGCTTTATTAATCTTATTGTGGATTATTCTTATTTACAGCAAGAAAACTATAGTGGGTAATATGGGACAATAATGGAAAATGCAAGGGAATCATCCTCGGTACTTGGAGTTGGCGACTAAAGAGAGAAAAGACAACACATTTACAGTAGGAATTGTACAACTCAATAACGATAACGACATGATAACATGGAACACCATCGTGGTTATAAGTTATGAGTTATCATCAATTTTTTTAGCAAAAACTGAAAGATCCAGAACGCGCACGGTACACAAGTCAAGCAGCATCGGTCGACGCCACAAGAACACAAGAGGCTGACTCCAGATGTGCCGGCGGTTCACCGTCTGCAGTTCGGACAAGAACAGTCCGCAGTTCCGGACAAGAAGACACAGAGAAGTCAAGAACAGACAGTACAACAGTACAAGAACAAACAAGAACAAGTCAGGCAGGAAGCCCGAAGTAGCAAGGCTCAGTGCGAAGATGGGTTCAAGAAGAAGAAGTAGCTTCCTCAGAAGGTGTAGACTCCTTGGCAGTGCCGTACCACTCTCTCCAGAACTTCGCTGGAGTACGACGCACAAGGATGCATTCAGGTCCACTCCAGCCCCAGTGGTAGAGCTCAGGATGCAGAAGTTCTGCACGACCTTGCTTCGGCACGTACAAGCCGAACGCAGGACTTCCACTGTCACCAGGCGCAGAGACGTAGTGTGTCCCGAAGACATGATCAGTCTTGCGCGTCAAGGCAGTTGCCGGTAGAACAGTGACAGAGTCTTCTCTCGTTCCATCTGAAGCAAGCTGGATGTGCCCGATCAAGAACACGGAAGGACAACGATCGCGGGACTCAGTTCTCAAGGGCGCAACAGTCTGACTGAGAGAAGTGGAGAGTCCAACTCGCACAACCGCATCATGCTTCTCATCCACAACCTGCACTATCGATCCCTTCTGCACGTTGTTCACCTTGAAGTCAGTCGCAGTCCTCGGCTTGCCACGTTCCTGAACATGACGTACCCTCAAGATGGATCCAGCTTCGATGCACTTGCTACGACACAAAATGTGATTCATTCATGTGAATCACATGAATCATGACGTTCACCAGAAGCACTGATGTTATAAAACATATATAAAAATGGAATGTCTCTTCTTTGTCTACGGGTATTCCGAATAAACGCTTGAATCACACTGCAGAGCCTAATGTGAGGTGGGTCCTGTTTTTTGAGGTATTATTTGAGGTTCATGTCTACGATCACAAAATATCATACATATTCATACATACAAATACCAGTTCAGATGTGTGTCCATTTAGGATCACAAGAATGCATAGGTTTGCTGACGGTTGATCATTCTGTCCCCGTTTGAGGAATGATCATTGGAAGATATATTTCCCCATCTTCAATCAAACAAACAATTCAAATGTATTCAAATGTTTGACAGTAACGAAGTGGAATACCAGTACCCAGGCAGTGCACAAAATTTGTGTGACCGCTGGGTTGCCGTGCCCAAAGAACGCAGAGGATGGGTCGCAAGGCTGCATCGTGAGGACTTTGTTTGTTGGGGCAGCACAGACCTTGGGGCGTGCGCGCCATCATTTTCATGACGAATCCAAAATGTATCCCTATCCGTCCCTGGAATAACTTTGAATCAGCAAATCCTCCCTATCTGATTATCTGCCCCTTAACTTTGAATCACCAAGCAACATCAGCACAAATTGGTTGGTGGTTGACCTACCCCTCTGAAAAATATGAGTTCGTCAGTTGGAATCATGAAATTCCCAATATATGGAAAGTCATAATCCATTCATATTCCAAACCACCAACCAGTGGTTATTAACCATCATTAACCATCATTAACCATCATTAAACCAAACAACATCAGCATAAGTCATGCTGACTTATGATTTTGTAGCTTCTCTCAGTGGTGAATGAAGAAAAATGAATCCGGAACCCCCGGAACCCCAGTCAGGATATCATTGTTTGTGTGCAGGATGGGGCCCCCGTTAGATAGCGTGAACCGTTGCCTGAAAAAAGTTGCTGAAAAAACTATGGTTTATGGTAGATATAACTATACTTAATGGGGATTTTTTCATGGTTTATAAACCAGCGTTCACATCACTGGGGGGGCCCATCCTGTGGGAATGTCTTTGAATACGTAAGAATTGCCGCATCAGCCAATGGAGCCCTTTCAGTTTTTTTGGTCTCTCAAGAAGTATCATGCAAGAACTTCTCCAGATCACTCCATTTCTACGGGATGAACTCAGGTATACAGATCTACAGTACATAATCTGGTTGGTGGTTGACCTACCCCTCTGAAAAATATGAGTTCGTCAGTTGGGATGATGAAATTCCCAATATATGGAAAAATGATCGAAATGTTCCAAACCACCAACCAGTACAGTATATAATCATTTCGAATCATTTGAGAAAGGGAATGGTGGTATTTTTTGTTTAGATCAGCAAGCAATTGGAATTTCCACCAGTCATCCTGCTGAACTACAGATCAAAAAGGATCTATCAAACATATACCGACCCAGATGTTTGTTTTGCTACGTTTTAACCATTCAATTGCTGGGATTCATGTTGACATTATCATTCCAAAATGCTATTGTGTTACCCTCTAGTAAACTAACAGTTTGCGAACTGGAACATGACCCATAAAGGTTGAATGATTTAACAAAAACGATGAGTTTCCATAGTTTTGTAAACGTTTACCAGGCCGGGTAGTTTTGAGGGGGTAAAACTCTGGTATCCTGGATTTCATGTCTCAAGTCTGGTGTTACCCTCCAGAAAATAAACATAGACCCTGGCAAATAGGGGTTGGAAGATTAGTTTCCACTAAAAACTGGTGATTTTCAGGGTCTATGTTAATTTACCAGACGGTATCTGGTACATACCACAGCGGTAATCATTTGCAGCCTGGAACTAGGTGAAATATTAGGTGAAATGATGTGACATTCTTCACAATGCCAAGTCGAAGCTCCGAGCTGTCCATGCGTCCATTTTCTCTCTATGCTTCGACGACTTTACACTCCCAGTTTTTCACTAAAACACCCTGTCAAATAGGGACTTGGAAGATTACTGTCCACTAAAAAGGTGCCTATCTTCAGGGTCGAACTGTTATTTTGGTGGAGAGCATTGGCGATGAAAAAACACAGCACCCAGTGATTTGCCAACGAACATAGGATATGCCCCAAAAAGGAACGAACATACCCAAACCCATTAAATACCACCTACAAAATGGTACTCCTAAACAATTGGGCAAGACACCCTTTTTTTGGGGTAGATGGAGGGTTTCCAATATGCACCCAGTTCCATCCAAATGATTTTTTATGATTAGAGTATAGTATAGCGGTGAGCCCTATAATCCCCGATTTCACTCGCATTTCACCAGTTTCATGAATTCAAAATCACATGTTGCACCCAATTATAGTCACAAAAAAATAAAAAACCAACTGATCACCAATTTAGCAGGATTTTCCTTCTCTGCATCTTTGTGGGAAGTTCAACAAAGATTTGTGAAACAACAAGAACAAATCAGTTTGAGAAAAACACAAATCTATAGGTCAAAAATATTGACCTAGCAATTTTGATACTTAATGACATTGCCATAAACCGTCTATAATTATCCGGTTGGTGGTTTCAACCCCTCTGAAAAATATGAGTTCGTCAGTTGGGGTTACCACTCCCAATATATGGAAAGTCATAAAATTCCATGGTTCCAAACCACCAACCAGTGTTATTTATGGTCAATTTATGTATGGTTAATCTATGGTTGACGTACTGAATTATGGCGTACCAGCTATAGTTATGCACTAAATTGATCCAAATAGTTAACATAACTCCCACCCCTCATCCCAGAACTATAACTATAGTGGTTTCAATACTTCAGTAGAACTATAGAACTATAACTATAGAACTATAACCATAACTATAGAACTATAACTATAACTATAACTAATGTTTTTTTACACCCCAGTCCCAGAAATCTCGAATCTCAGACGACCACCTTCTCGAGCTGGGCCAATTTGGCGCTTTTCTTCTCGAGCCAAGACGGCGATGGGCGATGGGAGATTTCCCACTGTTTGAAGGGTCTCAGATTTACAATTTCTATCAACATGCAAATGAATAATGCAAATAAATAAATAAATATATATAATATAATATATAATTTAAAAAATATAAAAATAAAATAAAATATAATATAATATAATATAATATAATAATATATCATGTATGTATGTATGTATGTACGTACGTACGTACGTACGTATGTATGTATGTATGTATATAATTATATAATGTCACATTTTCATCATGTCTGTATTTTGGCCAATTTTGGCCCATATTGGCCGTACGAATGTACCCACGTTGGCGCGCACTGAGTTGATTGTCGCTCCCCAACCCGCTGGCTATGACAAGGTGAGAGCCCAGCTGGGCTAAGTTGACTCACATGATGCACGATGAATTTTATGATGAATTATGATGGTTTTATGTTGAATTGTGATTATTCATGATGGTTTATGGTATTAGTATAACGAACTCGTCTTAGTATAACGAACTCGTCTTCAGAAGGGTGAAACATAACCAACGTTCACATCACAAAAGGAGGGCCATTAGCTATACTTAAAAGATGTTGTAAGTAATCAATAGTTCACTATAATATAGTTCACTATGTATTGGCAATACCATAGTGATGTTACAAGTGTTATAGTTAACTATAGTTCACATAAACCACTATGTGATTCCCAATAGTTTTTGCTTTTTTTTTGCCATGATATTCCCATGGTATTCCCATACATCTTCCGCAGGTCAAACAAACATGAGGAATACCATGGGAATGTTTGAGATTAAAAACAATGGTTCTTGAATTGATATTAATAGAAGATTAGAGACCATCAATTCCCATTCAGATCCATTCAGTATCATATGAATTGATATTGGATTTTGCCTTATGATTAACCCATGGTTCACCCATACCATGAATCTTCCGCCTCTGGAGCTGGAGCAGGGGCCTGAAGCTGTGAAAACTTTTGGGAAGCCACTGAAGAATGTCCCCAGTTGTGTTTGCGGATTGATGTTTACCCATCTAGCTATAGATAGATATAGATAGCTATAGATAGCTATAGTTGGACCACGGCCCTTAGACGGCCGTGGCGTTTTGTTGGGGCGGGGGGGGGGTGGGGCGGGGCATGTATTCACATTCATGTGAACTTGCACATGAAGTAGATGCTACGCCGTGGCTGTCGGTTGAAGCGCTGCTGTGAACATAAGACGGCTTGAAAAGTGTGGACACCAAGTAGTTGCGGGGCTGTGAAGAATCCACAAAATGCAGGTTTTGTGCAGGCGAAATAATTCTTTTCATTCTGCTGCCTGTAACTAAGGAGTTGACGGCTTTACACAAAAATAACGCAAAATCCTACTGGCACGAGCACATCCAGTATCATCAGCAACTTCCCATGAATCAAAAAACACACGGCCATCTAAAGGCCGTGCTCCTAGTTTGTTGGTTAAAACATAGCCATAGCAAACCTTGTTGTAACATGTTAAAAACCAACTTACATGTTATCACCATGAATCACCTAACGGACCTGGGTGGCCAGGAAGGGATTTGACCACTCAAAAATGTCACATATGTCACCAAGAAAAGTTGGGAAGTTTCCGTTCTTGGTGATTTAACCGAAGCTTTGACCACTTTGTTTTGCGATCAAAAAGAACCTGGATTCAACATGCCAAAAAACGGATGTATCCACACAGCCGGACAACCAGCATGAGTATCTCAGCAACAGTTGGAGACCTGGTGGATTTGTTATTCCATGATATTCCCTGGTGCTCAATATACCAACAACAAAAACATATCTGGTTGGTTGTATACCTACCCCTCTGAAAAATATGAGTTCGTCAGTTGGGCTTATTTCATTCCCAATATATGGAAAGTCATAAAATTCCATGGTTCCATTATTGATTATTATATCCCAAGATATCCCATTAAAAACACCGTTAAATCATGTTAAACCCCATTAAAAAGCCATGGGACCCCAGTCACCACCAACCAGATATAAATCTTACTGGGATCATGACCCCCTCTGTTTTTTCTCATAAACACGGCTCATTGAAACCACCAACCACTGGAATCCCCAAAATGTGGGGATCTCTTTAGCGGATGTTACCCTCTGGTTATGTCAAAATAGTTATTGAAAATGGCCATAGAAATACTTGATTGTCCCATTAAAAGTGGTGATTTTCCATAGTTATGTTAGTTTACCAGAGGGTACGTCAATCTTCCTCCGAAAAAAAAAACTTTACTTCGAGTGATCCCCACCCTGGCATTTCAAGTCATATATTCTGACATATATTTTCACATTTTACCTAACATTCTATCTGACATCTGTTCTGATATTCTATCTGGCATATCTTCCAGCATTTTATCGGGTATATCTTTTGACGTTCTATCTGGCATATATTCTGGCATTCTATGCGGCATTCTTTCTCGCATATATTTTGGCATTCTATGTGGCATATCTTCTGGCATATGTTCTGACATTCTTTCTGACATTCTATCTGGCATATGTTCTGA